TAAAGACTAGTAACATCGTGGCTTTTACCACTAATACCTGCTGACCTTCGCTCAACGACTTGTGATGGGTCTGAAACTTCTGAGATGGATAGATTTCGTCATTCTGCATCGAATGGTGTAACTTGAATGGGGCCCATTGATCATTCGTGGGTGATTTAACCCTTTTACTCCCGGTGGGATATATACTTCCCGCCTTAGTGAGAATTTATATTTTTGAAAAAAAATTCGAAATTATTTGAGGTTTCCGATGTTCAGAGAGAATATTTTCATTTTTTTGGTCATAGTTGGGATGCTTGTTTGAACGGCTGTATAGATATTTTTATGAATCTAAAAACGTAATTAGTCGGGTAGCCCTTTTGAATTCGCAAGGTTTTGCTAAATATTCTGTAATTTGTGTCTCGAAACACTTTGTGCTGTTGTTTTTTCCTCATAAGAGAAGGTACTACAGTATAATTGGATAATTATATCGTCGATAGAACTACCGGTGTAATATTTGAACTTTGAATTATCTCAAAAACCTGAGTGTTTTCTAAAATTCAATGGATCCAGGTTCTGATGAAAGAGTAGTCATTTGGAAGATTATTAAAAACCACGATTGTCAGATGATTTGCCAGATTCTATTCCAACTTATTGTAGATGTCCTTATTTTAATAAAAAAGAAAACGAATGTAATATGTACTGTTTGTGATGTTTCTAATTGTGTGAAAAAATGCTTTTTTTGTCAGCAAAAGCTTTGTGCGTCAACAATAAACTAAACATGCACATACTCATAGAATAACAGTTTTCGTGACAACTTAAGCAGCAGTCCCAAAACACTGCTTAGTCACTTATCATCATGTTTTTTTCAAACATTAGTTCCATAAAGAAAAGTCGGGAGTCAAAGGGTTAAGCTAAAAATCTTCTCGCTGCTAGGGAATCGGATATCAATGATGGTTATGGTGGTTTACACGCAGGTTATGGAAAATTCGTTTTTTTCAGAGTTTTTGTTGTAGATGAAAATTTTTGGAGAATAATGGTGTAAACCCCACTAATGTAGAGAATTAAGATTCGTTGAGATATAGATGTGGAACGAATTTACTGATATTAATGATCGCTAGCTTGTAATATTGTAAATGAAATCATGCGTAGTTTTTGGCGGAGGTATCTTTTAACGTCATCTCTCATAACTGGATGAATCAGATTATTTCTAAATGTGATGAAAATTGTGAGAGACATTCGGTATTTTTTATAAATGAGTTGCGTTAAATTTCTTTCGGGATATATTTTGTTTTTTTCGAAGATGGCTTATAAAAATATCGTTCAGTTTAGTTTATTCAAACGAAAAGGCAGGCAAGCTGGGATGAATACAATTAGCGAAAGAAATCAGGTTAATAGATTTCTCTGTATGAATGGAAAACAGTCGGTCAGGTTCAAGAGAAAGGAAAGAAAATTGTCACGGACGAGAGTGATCAATCGTTGGACGAAAAGTGGATGTGCGCATAATTAGCAATGGAACGAACATTGGTATATATTTTCAAAGAACAAAAAATAGTTCGTTTCACATTGAAATAAAGTGTTTTGTCTGATTTAATTTGAGTGGCTGAGATAGTGTGTTTAGTATAGTTCTAGCACATACAATGCTAATTCGACGAGAATGCGACCGTCATGACTAACACATCCTTTAGGATGTGTATCGTCAAAATGATAATAAGTGCCGTCTTTCATCTTGATGACTGCTGTAAAATGTTGATTCGTATTATTGATAGCCGCAGAGAGATTATAACTAAACGTAATGCAGTTAGCACGAAATATCTAGATTCTGTGAACTTACGTATATTCACCAATATAGAGTGGATCTGGTGAATCTCTCATAGATGCAAGATCGAATCCGACATCAACAATAAGAAACGGTGATTTATGTACAAGCTTTGCTATGTCAATTATTCGATTCGCTTCACATATGTAACGCTTTCTAAAGTTCAACGTGCTATTTCAAGGAAGTTTAACAGAACCGTCACTTACTCTGTACGAGTAACATTCGTCTCTAGATCCACGACTGGAAACTTGTCATCAACAGAATATTTTGCTGGGTATTTTCGCGGTTTAATATGCCCAAGATCCGCTCTGCATGGATGTTCTCTTGTTCTAACAAAATATGGTATGAAGTTCAGGAATTGATCATTGACTTTCCTATGTTTGTAAAATCAGAAAAATTAGAGATTCTTATGATAAAAAAGAAATTGCTATTACTGAGTTATTAGTTTGCTAGAAAAAATTGCTGACAAAAGACGTTATTCCGAAGGAAATGAAATGTGGCACTAATTGAACACATTCTACATATTTGTCTTTCCTTTCTTGTTTTCCTTTCTATCGCTTTTTATCACATTCGTTCATTATCGGTGAGTGTCATATTGTATAGGCGTGTTTTTTCTCTGTGTAGTTTCTTCCTCATCGGGATGATATAATTTTGAAAAACTTACACTAGTGATATATCCATACTTATGTGTTCACGGATTCGTTTCGGACAGACAGTGCATGAGCATTTGGACGTCACAGGAAATGTTTGCATGGGCTTGATGAATTGAAAGACAATAGCTTCCATAGTATTCATAAGATCATATTTCCCACTTCGGTGTTTATTCGTAAGAAGATTGTGTTCAGTAAGCCAGTACAGACGCGCTACAGTCCATCCTTCTGTCTCAACCAGATGAAATGTACGGCGAATAATTTTGAAAATACCAAGTTCGTCAGATGTAAAAAGATTGCGAAAGTCGTTCGAGTGAGCCTTGTATGCGTGATATAAGATAAAAAGACCTGTATCAATAGTGCAAGTGTGAAATATAAAATAACATTCATCTGCATATGTTCCATTTTCAATTCCATATGAAGGCCATGTAAGCTCAAGAGTACCGATTGTAGTTGTTCGATTGTCTTTAGTATTGTGAAGTAGGTTACTTTGGGTTGTATGAGGTGATATATGCTTGTTTATCCTCAGACAGGGTTGTTTCGATGTTTGCTCTGCGGTAATAGAGCCGTCACTATTTGATGAAGAATGTAAACGTTTTGAATTGGTTGCTCGTGATAAATGCGACTCAGTGATATCTGACAAGGCTAAAAAGATGTTATCAGAAGAAGAAGGATACGTGATCGCGGGCGCATCGATTTTGATGGGCGATGGAGATGGTGAATTTGCTTTAGGACTGCAAGTGTTTACGTCGATTATACGTGGCATTTGTGACGAGAGAACAGAAAATCCAACTGAACAATCATTGGAAGAGCTGACTGATTTATCGGAATCTGGATCGCTAAATACAACCAATATCAAGTTAAGATGTTCATAAAATGCTATAGCGATACCAAAGAGATGAAGGCTGAATATTTGTTTATCTTTTTATCTGGACGTGTCAGTGATTTATCGACGTGTACATTATGTAAGACAAAATGTTCCTTTTAATTCTAGTTTTCATTTTGTCTTGGCGAGCTTACGAGAAATTTTCTTATACACAGAGAACAATTTAAAATACGTATCCACTGGAATCATCGTTACGGCTTTTATTTCTATAACTCATTAGGTTCATTTATAGATCGTCGTCGATTTGATCAATACGCATAAATTGATTAACAAGGTGTGACTGATAAGTCAATTATGTCTCATTCTTCATTGCAATTCTCTTATCATACCATCAATGACTTCATACATAACACAAACAAATCTTAGTAAGTCTTTTTAGATGTTGATCAACACGATTTTCAGATTGAAACTTGAAAAACTATCAACTGTTTAGCCATATAATACATACTCGAAATTTGTTGTCTTTTTGGAAGAAAAACAGACTTGGTTCGATGGACTTAAATTGCGATCAGATACGATTGCTTCATTTCTTCCTTTCCTAATAAATTCATATTGTTAATAAAATGAACATGAGACATATGATGAGGAAAACTTACGCTATTTTAGACGCAACCGTTTTACTGACGTTGTCATTGAAATGAGACGTTTGTTTACCAGCTTTTGGATTCTTCTTATGTCTTCGTTTCCATTTATCCAGTATGTTCAAGTCATCTGCTTCATTTTTCTTCTTTTTCCGACCGTGTGATGTTTGCGCGACATCAAATTGGTCACCTTTCATTCGAGCTAACACATGATTATGAATTCGCATAAGAAAGTCATTTGGTCGCAAAGTAGTGTGATGTTCTAATACAGATGATTTTATAGTTCGAAAATAAGTCTCGATTGAAGCATTCGACACTCGACCACAACCAAATTCCCATTGATTTGTTGTAGCAGGTGTTTTATCTTTTGCATATCTAATTACAACCAATAACAATTGGCTCATGAAGTTGAAAAGAATTACCTTTCGTAAAATCCAACCAACATTCCAGACCAAAGCGGTATATAAGCAAACCATTTATGCAATAAATAAATAATTTTTGCCGAGAACAGTTGATTACGTGGTGATTCGTCAAGTTTTTTCCTTTCAAAAAATCTGTTCAGAGCTGGAATATTGGCACGTGCTTTGATGTTAAATGGTGATTGTCGGATGATTGCATCTGTTGTGAAGTTTGTTTCTTCCAAAAAATCTTGCTTAAGCTCCTTATCATCTTGAACATCACTCTCCTCCAAAAAATGCTCAATATCAAATCCAGCTAATTCGGGTTTATTCAAAAGCGAAGCAAGTGTCGTATAGGGAGTATCACAGTATGGATCTCCGTAAATATGTATAAGACATCTGTATAAATCAAGAATACCATCAAAATTTGTAGAATTCAATAGAATAGCGAAAAACGTCATTAAATGATGATGAGTTTCTTTTGAAACATTTATCTTGAAAAGACCACGAGAAAATGCTTTCATCGCATGCGAACAGCATAAGCGTAAAAACGTCATGTTACGTAGTTGCTTCGTCTTGTACATGCGATTGATTGTATTGTAACAACGTCGTAAGTAAGTATGAATATTTTCGACATTGAACGAAGCGAGTACACTATTTATCAATGCTGCTGAGAAATCAATTATAACGAATGCCGGACGTGCGGTTTTGCTTCGCAACATCAATTTACTTCTAACAGAAAGAAGAAATGAGGTGATCGAAGCAGCTGTATGGTCGGTAAGAAGCGCTCCGCTAAGTGGTAAAATCGGAGAATCATCGTGTCGATAGACAAGACAGTAAAAAAATACGTCTTTCTGGTCTTTTAAATTGCGTACGACAGAACCAGTAGCATCGACATGTAAACAAGAGTATTTTTCACTTCGACAATATTTAATAAATCGATCAATTTGTATTTCTGTAAAAAATTTAACGATGAATGGCCATTCACTAACAGCTTGTATAAAACCTAAGAAGAATCGTGAGAAAAGATTCTTACAAAGTTTTGCACTGCGTCATCAATGAAGGAGTTTTATAAGTCAGTCGAGCTATTAGCATACGTTTCACCGATTCTGTAGAATCTAATGATAACAATGCGTATTTCTATCATTGCAGATTCAGAAAAGAATAATCGAATGCTCAGCGGAATGAATAATTAAGAGTTGTAAGAATTCTCACCTTTCACTTCTTTAGAATGGACATCACTATATCTAGTGACAAACGCGAACATGCGCACTTCTTTGAAACAATTTTCATCCAAACGATATTTCTTGTCATATTCCTGTTTGATTTTGTCCAATACTTCTTTGGAAGGAACTTCACTGAAGTTTCCCTCTCTCAGCAAATCTTCATTAGCATGTCGTAAATTTCGTTCATAAACACTTAATGCACCAATAGTTTTCACTTCTTTCGCTAAAATATCAATTATAACATGACATATTTAGTAAAAAATCCTAACATACCGATCGCTTCCCGAAGGGGTCCTGTAACTGAACGACTGACTTTTTGTTTTTTTGGATCGTGGTTTTTCTCACCAACAACGACTACTTTAAAAACCGATGGATCACCTTTTTGTTTCGGTTCAGATGCAATGTCAATGTCAACCTTTACAGGACATGTTTCTACTTTACAATATCCGCTAGCACTGAACAATGTACAATTTTGTTTTCGTGAATCTATTAGTCGACTATGATGATATCGAAAAATGACAGTGCAAGTGATACCAAGCTTGTATAAGTGAGAAACAATTCTATCGCTCCAACCAGTATGAACATCTTCTATTTTGTAATCATAAAACATCTTCCATTGATCATATGCCATGGTAAAATAATATACACAACGTGAATTTGTCTTGCTCTTTGATCTCAAGTTTTTCGGATCAAGAGATGGCATTGCCATCAACGATGGAATTTTCGGCGCCTAAATACAAATTAATACGAAACGACACTCTTTCATTTGTTTATTTTCTCTGATCTGTTATCGTAGATTGTCAATCATTCAGTTTTTAAACAAGAAAATCAGAATAAGTCTTCTGTGAGATTTGTGTCTCACTCTCTTTCAGTTCGGCAAACAGTACAAGTCTCTTTCTGTTTCTGCTTCAGTCACACATTTATACATACACTAACAATGATACGATTGATAAAAACATGTCAACATCACTGAGCAACAAATATATCCTTTCCCTTTCCCTTTCATTCTATCGATACGCTTAACTCTTGTTACATTTTTGAAATCGCTACAGAACAAAAGTTCAAAGATGATGCTCATCCCAGATAAATGAGTCTCTTAACAACAATGATGTTTTCTTTGAATTCTGAAATATCTCGCTCTGAAGTTGATTGATCAATGTGGTCAATCGACAAACGTATTGATGTTGAAAGTGTAAAATAGTGGATGCTTTTCAATTTCATATGAATGCATTGACGGTCAACGTCTATGAAAAATTTCATGCATGTTACGATGATGCTCTCCGAATGTTTCAAATTATCGTTAAGCATCGAAAGAGTGCGACATAAGAACAAACGAGAATGAAAAACTTACTTCGTCAGTGTTCTGACTACTTTTGTTCGTGATGTCATCAGGTGATTTATGTGGATCACCTGACGAAGCGTCAGTAGCTTGCGTACGTAAAAATGTTGTACGAACTTTTCGACGATCGTTGTTCCACACCGTGTAGAGCCATTTTCGAGCATCGTATGTAGATTTGCTGTCAAGTTTCGTCAATTCTGCTAATCGACCCCATATGCCATCGGCGTTTTGACAGCCCTCACCTTTGGCATCTAACATTTTATAGTCAGATCCCAGTTGACTGACAGCAGCGAGAAAACCCTCTTCATTACCGATATCATTCCAATAATCTTTCTTCTTCGACTTGTTCATTACCATCTTGTTTAAACTACTTGAAATAAAGCAGCAATGTATCCTTCTGATTTTTAGTATCCTTCGATGAAACAATCGCTATTTATATAATCCGTTGTGAAACACTTTCCGATGAAAATATTTTATCTATGACCAATCAAATTCTATTTCCTTTTCGTAGAATGATACGGTTGAACGACGTTCAAATTAAAAAAAAACATCAAATACAATACGTTCGCCATAACTATAAACAATCGTAGTGAAAGAAATCTGATAGAAGTTCAACAAGTTGTTTCAAATGAAACTGTTTCATTAATATATTGTTTAGAAGATATTCTAGAGTTTCAGTTACAATCGAAACATCATTAAAACATAAAATTTTCGTTTGAATCGTTGGTTTTATATATCAGATGTTATCGGTTGATGAATTTCCTGCTATAGGTAAGGTGTCAAATAGACTTAACGCACGTTTTTAATCTTCTCTTTCCCATTTAAGAATAGGATATATTGATGCTATCAACTACATTGAAAACAAATGGATGCAGATTGCACAATTTGATCGATCCGTACAAATGATTTGTCACACAGAAGATGACCAGTCCTATCCTATTTGGAAGTGCTTTGCATTAAATCTTTTGACACATTCAGTGTCAGTGTAGAAACACACCCTCGATCAAACTATCGTAAAAATAGAACAATTTATTGATGAAGATTGTATCAATGTATAAAAGAAATTTATCGAGTTAAGTTGAACGTTTGTAAAAGCATTTTGTGAAAATCAAATAGCTGCAACTGTCGACAATGATTACATCTCTTCTTATGATTTAGATTTTGTCAGAAATATCGCAAAAATTGGTTGCACACAAAGCTGTATTTTGTTTATGTATTGTGTATGTCACAGTTGCCACTTTCCTTACTTTTTTGCATATGAATTTGTGTTCTTTCATGTATGTCTAAGGATCGATACTCACATTTCATTTTATAGTTTCATTCATTTTCAAACTAATTGACGGCATTATCTTTCCTTTCAGCAGTACATTTTTAGACTAAGTTGATCGAGAAAAATGAAGACTAAAAGTTTTGATAAAGTATTATTTTAATTCAGAATTCAGACGGCAACACAAACTTTCCATCGAAATTTGCATCTTCCAGTCGAGCGAAAACACTAAATGTATGAACAGTAGTGATGCTCTGATGAAACTTGCGTACTTTCGAGAAACTATCGAATTAACATACTCATACTACGAGAGATGATCCCTTCATTGATCGACAACATAATTAGTAGATGACAAGGATACATCGCACATGGACACTCTGTGTTATTGATCGTCTCTTTTATGTTATACATACATGTAATTGTTTTGTCGGCGAAAATAGATATGATGATTGATAATCACATATAAAATCGGAGCAGCACCTTATGTTTGAGCATTTCTACATATTATCTAGCACAAGCATTCACCTTCACTACACTCATCTCTTGACATTTACAAAATGTTTACGTTTGTTCTTCTAAGTTGCGCACTAATGGTTACAGTAAGCAATTGATTTTTGTCTTAATTAATATAGATGACATTTTGATGTAGCTCGTTTATGCTGAATCATTTCCTTTTTTCGATGATTTTGTCAAGTCTTTTCTTTCATCCACCTCAACAAAAACAACACCCACTACTAACTTTCCTCAAACATCAACAAATTCAACAAATGATATGAAAAATCCAAATATTTTCTCGTCGATTACAACTCATATTAACCTACTCGTCATTGAAATAGCTTTAATAGTCGTTCTGTGTCTCATGAAATTCTTTCAAAAATTAGCCAATAACGGTTGTAAAATAAAAGTAACGATTCTTTCATATCTGCACATTGGTTATTACTTTACTTTCGTAGAAGTCTTGGTTCGAAATCAAATCTGTGAATGAATATCGTCGTCGCGCAACTGAAAGACAAAGTAAGTTAACTGATAGTAAAACAATTTTATTATTGTCTATTTTAGATCATCAAGCATCACTGACAAATGCTCTTCGATGGGTCTATAATCAACAAGCAACAACAACGTCTTCTTCAATCGAGTAAGTTATCGCGATATTGCGCTGACTCTTGTTATACTTTGTCTTTAGAACATGCGAATCAACATATCCTATCTCATTTGTATAATGCTTGAAGAATCAATTAATCTTGTTTGTTTTATGCTTCGTTCATGAATATATCAAAGAAATAATAAAATAAAAATCCAGAAAAAGATTTCTTCTGAATCAGATTACTCATGACTAACTATGAGTAAGTCAATTCAGCGTCATGAAAGGATAAAGATTGAAGGAATACATATGAAATAAAGTGTGCTAAATACGGATATACAGATGACGTTTTTTTGCTTGTGACGAAATCTTATGTTGAATCACTAGTTTGATTATATGATGTCGTGCATTGTTTAAGACAGTTTAGTGATCGACAATAATTTTTACATTCAAACCTATTTTGTTGTTTCTCATCGAATATAAGCCGATTTGACTAAACATAATAACATCAAAACAGATAAAGTTTCCATGTATGAATGTTAGACGAACCGATAATTGATTTTCTCAGAATAGATATCACCTGATTGACTATGTTGAAGAGAAAGAAAAGATGGGAAAATGAGAAAGATATAAATAGGTGGCAGATTGCGTTCGCAGCAGACAATTCATATCTGTTTTCGTTCATCATGAATATTTCTTTTCCTTTCGTGATTAGACTGTTGTTCATAACCTTGATCGAAGCACTGCCGTTTCAAAAGATGATACATTCAACAACATCCGATACTTACATTAATACAGAAAAGGCTATCGCACACCGACGAGTTGGTATATATTCATTTCAATTGAAAGAAGAAATCGTCTATTCAATTGTACCTATCAAGAATGCATGTACTGAATCGCCTTCAACGAATGTTTGTGCGTTTACGTCCAATCCAGCATATCCAAATATAGTGGAGATTTCTACGATATTACCATCTCGTGATAAAGACAACGCTTTACCACGATACGACACGAATCATATTTTTAGTTCAATTAGAAGTAATCTTCAAAAAATGCTTCAGCTTCACCAATCTTTAGAGCAGATAGCAAAACAAGATTTTATTACTCATCTCGTTGGAGAGCAGTTTCACGGAATAGAACATATACAAAAATCACTACAATACTTGACAAGTACTCAGATTGAAAATGGTAAACCAAATATATTTCAGATTTCATCGACAACATTGGTCAATGTATTTAAGCAAATAAATAACAACAAAATTACATTTGATTTTCTTACGGATATTGAACTGAGATCGTTTTTGCTCGCTACAATTTCGATGATCGACAATTCATATCAAATTATTGATTTATCGGAATCATTGAAACTATTTACTGACTTAATCATTGGTCAATCCATTTATATTCTTCGTTCATGTGGTGATATTAATAAACAAAGTATATCTAGTCAGTCATGTCTCATTGTCGCCACATCATTCTTTCGTCCTTTGGTTGAGAATGATAACGTACCATTAGTCTACCAGCTGACTCCATTACCAGCCATTCTCAACCGTGAGCAATTTATTTACTCAAATATACCTCGTATAGTTGCTCTAAATACGCAAGATCAGTCGGTTATGACATGGAACACCATTCCAAACAAGAATGAGTGTCTTTTTTCAATTTTTCTTTATTGTTCAAAAAGACCGCCGCTCATTCGACTCAGTCAGTTGCCTTGTTTGTCACAGTTGTTATATGACGATAAAAAGAGTGTCAGTTCATGTGATATCACACGTATCTTAGATGTAGAAACGAAACTTATCAATATCGTAGATGATGTTTGGCTTTTTTCTCATGATGGACCACCAATGTACTGTCAATTACAACCAAATATTGAACCATACAGTGCTTTTACCATTATCAATGAATCATCGCTTCTCCGATTACCTTGTGAACAAACAATGACTTGTTCGGACATTAAGATGCTTTCATCCAATTGCATTGACCGCAAAGTTTTAATCAAATCATCGACCACCGATGAATATGAGTTTCTATCAACTACACCGTTCTCACTCCAAAATATGAATATACAACTGCTTTCCACTTATCAATTCCGTGTTAAAACTTCATTTAAGAACATTCTTGATAATTTGAACAATGATCGATTGACTGTAAAAACTGTTTTCAAGGAATTTGGTGTCATTGTTCTATCAGCATTTCTTTTTCTTTTCTTCTCGATTGTCTTATTTGTTGTTCGATATGTGAAGCGTCTGCTAGTGAGACGTTTAGAACATCTCGAGACGAATGTCGACGATCTCGTACATGCAGTTGCTATTCGACTAGACGACGAATCTTTCGCTTAAATAAAAACCTGTTCCTTACTGCTATAATTGTATGTCTTGTTAATCAGTATCATATCTCTTCAATAGAAAACAGAGAAACAGAAACGATCTTTTCATAAGGATAGAAGGTCCGACTGAAATGTAGCACACTATGTACTTCAACCATACCTTCTATCTCACACACACCATTAAAAACCGTGCTCGAAAGGTAGTAATTAATGATCAAGATAATCCATCCACAAGTACTGATACAATGAAATCGTCAGATAAATCAAATCTATTCTATTCTTCTTACAGCTCCTGAATAGTAGATGCAACTATTTTTGCGTACAACAAAAGTTTTAAGCAAAACATTCGACTTCTGATCGATCAACCCCAATCAAGTTACACCATTCGATGCGGAATGACGAGATCTATCCATCCCAGAAGTTTCAGACCCATCACAAGTCGCTGAGCGAATGTCAGCAGGTATTAGTGGTAAAAACCACTAGTTTACTAGTATTTACTGGTATAATCCCACTTATGATCGATGATACCACACGTATCCTATACCATTCGATGGAGAATGACGAGATCTATCCATCACAGAAGTTTCAGACCCATCACAAGTTCGTGAGCGAATGTCAGCAGGTATTAGTGCTAAAAACCACTATTTTACTAGTATTTACTGGTAAAACAACTAGGTAGGGTGGATGGACCCCCACTCAAGTTACACCATTCGATGCGGAATGACGAGATCTATCCATCACAGAAGTATCAGACCCATCACAAGTTCGTGAGCGAATGTCAGCAGGTATTAGTGCTAAAAACTACTATTTTACTAGTATTTACTGGTAAAACAACTAGGTAGGGTGGATGGACCCCCACTCAAGTTACACCATTCGATGCAGAATGACGAGATCTATCTATCACAGAAGTTTCAGACCCATCACAAGTTCGTGAGCGAATGTCAGCAGGTATTAGTGCTAAAAACTACTATTTTACTAGTATTTACTGGTAAAACAACTAGGTAGGGTGGATGGACCCCCACTCAAGTTACACCATTCGATGCAGAATGACGAGATCTATCTATCACAGAAGTTTCAGACCCATCACAAGTTCGTGAGCGAATGTCAGCAGGTATTAGTGGTAAAAACCACTAGTTTACTAGTATTTACTGGTATAATCCCACTTATGATCGATGATACCACACGTATCCTATACCATTCGATGGAGAATGACGANTCAATCTGTGAATGAATATCGTCGTCGAGCAACTGAAAGACAAAGTAAGTTAACTGATAGAAAACAATTTTATTATTGTCTATTTTAGATCATCAAGCATCACTGACAAATGCTGTTCGATGGGTATATAATCAACAAGCAACAACAACGTCTTCTTCAATCGAGTAAGTTATCGCGATATTGCGCTGATTTTTGTTATACTTTATCTTTAGAACATGCGAATCAACATATCCTATCTCATTTGTATAATGCTTGAAGAATCAATTAATCTTGTTTGTTTTATGCTTCGTTCATGAATATATCAAAGAAATAATTAAATAAAAATCCAGGAAAAGATTTCGTCTGAATCAGATTACTCATGACTAACTATGAGTAAGTCAATTCAGCTTCATCAAAGGATAAAGATTGAAGGAATACATATGAAATAAAGTGTGCTAAATACGGATATACAGATGTCGTTTTTTGGCTTGTGACGAAATCTTATGTTGAATCACTAGTTTGATTATATGATGCCGTGCATTGTTTAAGACAGTTTAGTGATCGACAATAATTTTTACATTCAAACCTATCTTGTTGTTTCTCATCGAATATAAGCCGATTTGACTAAACATAATAACATCAAAACAGATAAAGTTTCCATATATGAATATTAGATGAACCGATAGTTGATTTTCTCAGAATAGATATCACCTGATTGACTATGTTGAAGAGAAAGAAAAGATGGGCAAATGAGAAAAATATAAATAGGTGGCAGATTGCGTTCGCAGCAGACAATTCATATCTGTTTTCGTTCATCATGAATATTTCTTTTCCTTTCGTGATTATACTGTTGTTCATAACCTTGATCGAAGCACTGCCGTTTCGAAAGATGATACATTCAACAACATCCGATATTTATATTAATACAGAAAAGGCTATCGCACACCGACGAGTTGGTATATATTCATTTCAGTTGAAAGAAGAAATCGTCTATTCAATTGTACCTATCAAGAATGTATGTACTGAATCGCCTTCAACGAATGTTTGTGCGTTTACGTCCAATCCAGCATATCCAAATATAGTGGAGATTTCTACGATATTACCATCTCGTGATAAAGACAACGCTTTACCACGATACGACACAAATCATATTTTTAGTTCAATTAGAAGTAATCTTCAAAAAATGCCTCAGCTTCACCAATCTTTAGAGCAGATAGCAAAACAAGATTTTATTACTCATCTCGTTGGAGAGCAGTTTCACGGAATAGAACATATACAAAAATTACCACAATACTTGACAAGTACTCAGATTGAAAATGGTAAACCCAATATATTTCAGATTTCATCGACAACATTGGTCAATGTATTTAAACAAATAAATAACAACAAAATTACATTTGATTTTCTTACGGATATTGAACTGAGATCGTTCTTGCTCGCTACAATTTCGATGATCGACAATTCATATCAAATTATTGATTTATCGGAATCATTGGTCAATCCATTTATATTCTTCGTTCATGTGGTGATATTAACAAACAAAGTATATCTAGTCAGTCATGTCTCATTGTCGCCACATCATTCTTTCGTCCTTTGCTTGAGAATGATAACGTACCATTAGTCTACCAGCTGACTCCATTACCAGCCATTGTCAATCGTGAGCAATTTATTTACTCAAATATACCTCGTATAGTTGCTCTAAATACACAAGATCAGACGGTTATGACATGGAACACCATTCCAAACAAGAATGAGTGTCTTTTTTCAATTTTTGTTTATTGTTCAAAAAGACCGCCGCTCGTTCGACTCAGTCAGTTGCCTTGTTTGTCACAGTTGTTATATGACGATAAAAAGACTGTCAGTTCATGTGACATCACACGTATCTTAGATGTAGAAACGAAACTTATCAATATCGTAGATGATGTTTGGCTTTTTTCTCATGATGGACCGCCAATGTACTGTCAATTACAACCAAATATTGAACCACACAGTGCTTTTGCCATTATCAATGGATCATCGCTTCTCCGATTACCTTGTGAACAAACAATGACTTGTTCGGACATTAAGATGCTTTCATCCAATTGCATTCACCGCAAAGTTTTAATCAAATCATCGACCACTGACAAATATGAGTTTCTATCAACTACACCGCTCTCACTCCAAAATATGAATATACAACTGCTTTCCACTTNCAAAAATAGTTGAACAGTTGAGTCGAAATTTCGAGTTTCGCATTACTAAAAGACGCAAGGATCATAGTAGCTATTCATGGCGGACTGCTGTTTCATGTGTGAAAAATGATCATGAATAATGGACATTACATAAATAACAAGAACGATGACAGTTGTTTGGTTAGTTTTGAAAAAGGTTGAAAAAATTGACGAGGACCGTTCTCGAGACATCATTTGGAAGCGCAAGTTTTATGTGAAGAATAACCCAATCAGTCGAGAGTAATGCGAGTCTCCCTCGACGAGCGTTATTTATAATAGAGAGCATGTGCATATCGAACAGAAAAAAAAAATGATCGAGCGAACTACCCCGGTGAAAACGGCCATATCGGATCCTGTCGGACGGGTATCAAATCCTTTGTCTCAGGGACGATCGGATTCGATCGGTTACTATTGAGTGGATTCCGATCAAATCTTATGTTTTTCTTCAATATCCGTCCATCGGATACGTTGGGTTCCGACAAAATTCATATATTCCGAACCGGTCGGATACTGTCTCAGGATTCGACTAATTCCGATCGAATGAAGGCTTATTCGATGTCAGGAAATGAACAGAATTCACCGTTTAACATGATACCGGGTTCCATAATAATACCAAGGATTTGCTGCCATCGGAATCGGTCGGATATATATGGATTCTCTTTATCGTTTTTTTTATTCCCATGTATTATGGTTCCGATAGGAACTTGCCATTTCCAGACGTCGGAAATGGTCAGAAAGCTATCCACACCAATCAGCATGATAGTTTCAGCCAGTTTCATTGAAGAAACAGCAGCTGGTGACTGAATTCAAAAGTTATGTTGCATTACACTGTAAGAGCAAAATCAAAATAAATTAACCTGATTACAAACACAAAACATCTGGTATCAATACTAATAACACGCGAGTCAGTCAAATTTATTTGAAATCAGTAAAAAATGAATTCAAATTGTTTGAAATCACATTGAATCTCGAGGATGATATGTATTTTCTGCAATCATTTCCAATGATTTCAAAGTCTAAAAAGCACTCGAAATCAGTTTGTTCTTTATTGAAAAAAATGAAGTAAATAATAACCATCTCAGTGAAGATCTCCCATTGAATTACGTTGACAATGGAACAGAAAACGTTGAAATAGCGAATGATATTCAATTTCAAGAAAGTTTTTCTGTTGGATGAGAAATCGTATTCTGTAATTGTCAGATATTTTTGCATTAATCGTACATAATACGTTACAGGCAGCGGCTTTCATTTTGCTTAAATCTAACAAGATATACAAAATCAAGCTTATTAGTCGGAAACTATTCTCTCTTCTTAACACAGCTCTTATTTGGATTACACTATTACATCTGCTGCCATCTATATATACCACTCATTGATTGTGTAGAAGAGATTCTTTCTGTAAAGTCTGGAAATCTTGAATCTATATCTGTATTAACAAGACCGATATAAATATTATTATATTCGATTGCTCCCAGCATTGCTCAGACGTTGTAGATTTCTAGATATCAATGTGGGGACCGCTCAATTAGCCTCATCTTATCGCCAATTTGTTTATTTTCACAGATTTTGTTGATATACTTTCAACATGGAGCTTGATCTTGAACAAGCTTTGGATTTTATGGAGAGAAGACATTTTAAAAGAGCAATGAAATATTATGAGAAGAAAAAGGAGAAACGAAGATTTTCTCGAGAACAAATCTCAAACAATCCTGACGAATCTGATGTCCCTTCTTCATTTCCACTTGGTCTTGATTTCAAATCGAAAAGCAAAATAGATGAACAAACTAGCTGCTTCTTGAAAAATGATATCAATGAAAATGCTATGGATTGCCAAGGAAATCTTACCAATGTAAATCAGGTCGAAAATATTCTTTCAAATGATGACGAGATTATTCATTATTTGTTCGATGGTTTCGAATTGTCTAATGCCGGCTCGAATATTAACACTGAAGATGTATTGCATTCTTATACACATATTTCAACCAAAGAATTTTCTTCAAAGTTATTGACCTTATTAAGAAGTTCCAACACCTGTAAATCGCAAGCAAATCGTTTTTTATCGTTTATAAGCTCAATACTTCCATCACCAAATAATGCTCCAAAGACAATGGACGATCTTTTGCAACAGTTAGATATCGAAAATAATATTTTCAAGAAATGTATGTTATGTACAAGCTGTAATGAATATATATCACTTCGAAAAATGTTTTGTTCTAAATGCTTATCAACGGATGCGAGGAATTTTGCCTTTGTGTACGATATGAACATAGAAGAATATATCAAAAAGGTTTATGTGAGATTCAGAGTCGAGATCGATGAATATCGAAATCAACTTTTTTTGCGTCAAGATATGGAGAAAACTAACGACATAGGATTTAACCATGTTTATCAACAATTGTTGAAGAACAATGAAAACGATGAATTTATTACATTTTTATTGCATATCGATGGAATCAGTTTATCAAAATCATCTAATTTGAAAATGTGGCTGTTCTCTGGTTCAATAATTGAGTTACGTCCTCAATTACGAAGTCATCGTTACAACAATATTATTTTTTCATTCTGGTTTGGCTACAAAGAACCTGATGTGAAGATTTGGCTGCGAAACTGTACGAATTTGATAAGATTAGTAAAAACAAAAGGTTAGATATAAGCTAAAGAAAGACTTTTCGATTTCATCTGTGTTTGCTAAATCGGCTTTAAAACTACACATGTAATAATATTTTCTACTTGAGGAGAAATTATATGCTTCGAATAATATCTGGTTCTTGCTTTTCATCTTCAGAATGCATGTAGCGAATCGAAATACTTTTTGGCATAGAAGAAAGCGAAGGATGATCAGCTGACAATGATTTATATGAAGCGCTTTAGGGAGACACGAGTTCTCGTGACTGTTTTACATAAACATTAAATCGCAGATGAATTATTATCGCATGTGAGCTATATACGCTGAGAATTAATTGAATGATCTATTTCTAAACCATTGGCATATGATGTCAAAATAAATGTTCTCATATTTGTTTTAAACTATTTCATCTTGCTTCTTCATCGTAGTTTCATCAACATTCATATACTCAGTCTAATTATTCACAGATGTTAATAAATTCCACACAGCACCCTTTTATATCATAGAAATATATATTATTTCCGTTTCTTTTGTTTTTAGGAATAATAGTTAATGAAACCCATCGTATACATATTAAATTCCTATCAATCACAGGTGATTCATCGGCTTTGAGTAAAATCCTTGATTTTAACGGGCACGGTGGATATTAATGCTGTAATTTCTGTTACACACGTGGTATTAATGTTCAAAGAAAGAGACAATACTTTTATGAAAAGAAAGTCTTACTACGTTCCACTGAAAAATATCACAAACAGTCAAAACAGGCCGAATCAAAAAAAGAAAAAATATTCGGACATAAAGGTTAATTACAGATTGAACATTGTTTTGGTATACTTTTTTTTGCTGAAGTATTCTTAATAGTGGATGCTTGATATGAGTTTGAGAGAGTGTTCCGATAGAGATACATTCTTATGTCAAACAGTAGTACGCTTCGTTGCGACGTGAAATGATTTATATGTATTTTATGTATCTGAGTCGAGATCCGTGTAGCTCCTTAGAATAATTTCGCATTTAACAAATATTTAATATCGAAGAAAGTAGATTGAGCAGAAAACGATATTCAAATCTTTGATTGAAGTAAAAAGAATTTTTTGTATTACAGGAATTTCGATTCTGCACGGTATACTTGATGCACCGTTACCACAAGCAATATTGATTGATTATCAACACGTCAGTTTATTAAGACATACAAAAACTGTTTTAGGTGAAATTTATAGAAACCTTAGACCTTTAGATCGTGAACGCCTTGACAATAGATTGAAACATCAAACATTTCCGCATTTCTTTCATCGTAGAATGAAACCTTTCAAAGAATTTTCCTTTATCAAAGCAGTAGAATTACGAAACATTTTGTTTTACGGGTTTTTACCATTATCATTTGAGTTCATTAATGTTCGACAACTTGCTCATTTAGCTTTATTCATTTGTTCGATGAGATTGTATCACTCACAACCTCCAGCGTTTGGTGATGCAACACAAGACATGGCTGAGAAGTTGTTCAATGAATATTACAAAGATCACAGATTGTTTTATGCCGATATTCAAAATTATGTGCTACATATGCATCGCCATTTTCGTATGCAGTATTTTAATTATGGTTCTTTAGCAAACATTGGGTGTTTTCATCAAGAAGATCTCATAGGTCATGTAAGTAAAAATATACATGGCTCTACTTATTATTCAGATCTTATAGTCCACTACTATAATATCGACTTCCATTTACACGCATATAGTTCTTATACAAAGCGTGACATAATTTCAACACCAATAGATCCTAATGTTGATATTAATCTGAATGATTATTCAATTATCAAACAATATCATGATACGATATGTACCTGTTCACGTCTTTCGCACTGTATCTCAATTTATCGCAGATGTATCGTACGTAACAATATGTTCCATTCATTAATATACAATAAACGGGGAAAATCAAATAGCTATTTCATATCGTATCATGAATCATCGAACGGAGGTGATAAATATTTTGGGAAAATCGCATTATTTTTTTCCTTTCTCAACGTAAATTATGCTATTATTCAACGTTATATGCAAAATGGAAAATTTAGTCGTTTATTTCGTTCGTCTCAATACTTCGTTTTATTAGAAAAGTCATTGGATGAATTTTTCTATCTGTTGTTCAAAGAACCATCAGTTTTACTAGATGTTATCAATGTTGACTGTATCTTGAAGCACTGTATTACCTTTGAGTTTCAACGATAGTTAATTGGAACGGAGGTTTCTGCATACCATGAGCACGATTGAAGGAATTTTTTCTTGCCACTGAATTTTATCTCTTTACTGAAACCATTTACTTTTCAGACTTTTTATCTTTCGTATAAAACATGCAACGATCTCAACGAACAATAAATGCTCCAAAAAAATTCTCACCATCTCAGCCGAGTATGTTTAGCCAGGAGAATTATTTACTTCGTTTGGAAGATAACAATGAATTGCTCATCGTGAAACGTTCAAGTATCAATTCGATCATTGATGATAGAGCGATTCTTGGAGCTCGTTCGAAACGTCGATATGCTGTGATTGAAGCCAAAGGTATTATGTAAACCTTGTCGCTAAATGAAGAACTATGTAGATAAAGGAACATTGATTGTGATTCAATCGTCAAAACTATTCGACTGATACCGAATAAGACGTTATTTTCATTGCTCTAAAACTGAATTCTTGCAATTTTGTTAGATACATATGCTGAGTTTTATTCTTCTTCGAAATGACTACAGTTTATGAATGATTATGTGTGAATTGTAGGTTCATACAGCCAATGCAACGATATGTATGAACAAATGCAATCAATGGAGAGGACCACTATCGATGATCACAGAGGTAATGTCGCTAGATGATTCTACACGATCGTATCGCAGAAATCTTGACATTTTCCATCGTATCATATATATGTGTTCGTATTTTAGATGAGATTGATGATTGTCAAAGCGATGAGCAAAACGATGATGACTTAGGTGATAGTGATGGTCAGAACGAGATACCAAGTACACTTCTTATATTTTTCTCGTCAACTAGTGATAATAATTGTTTTTTCTGTTTCTTTTTTCACAGAACAATCACTGTCGACAATGAGAAAAAGAAAGTTATCCGCATCTGTTGTACAACAAATGGACGGTAAACATTTGAAATAAATCTTTTTCTCTCGATGATAAATTCACACGGTAGAACGAGTTTCGTTTAGCTAGTAGCTATATTATAGCTGACAATACATTTTTACATAAATTGAAAACTGAACCAAATTGCTAAGGCACACGTTTCGTTTTTGTTTCAGAAAATCTTGATGTCGATAGTCTTTCAACCGAAAGCGGCATCGTTACAAAGAGTAAGTAATAACACCAGAGTGTTTGATGAACTTCACGAATACAACTTATCTTACTTAGAGCGTCGTCGTTCACTCGATAATTTGTTGCACAGTATGTGTATTTGGTTCGATCGTATGCTTTTGTACTAAAAACAAACTGTATTTTAGACGATGATTCAACAAACGCATCCAACAAAGAAAATCAAACTTTAGAAGGTTTGTATACTTGTTTCGACTAATTCGTGAATCAGAAAGTTTATATATCATTGAACAATCATGACCTAGTTGAGATTATTTGAGCTTATTCAGATAATCATGTTATCATCATCATTTGTTTTTAGCTCGAGTAGTTTATCAGACAATAGACGACATGCATCGTATCATTTTACAAAATCTGGAAAAAAAGTTGTCCGTGTTTTCCAAGAAACTAAATCAATTAGTCCCACATGCCGTGAGTTATGTTCATTAGTGCAAATATTATGTCCAGTATTCTTTCTTTCGTACTCTACAGGTTCATCAACAATTAGATTCCTATCGTGAGAAAGATGAAACTTTCCCTTCACAAGTGGTATGTATTCCAAAATACAATTTTGTAATCAATCCACTCATTGCGTATTGTCTAGATGTATGAAGGACAAAATCTTCTTGAAATTCGAGGCAGAGACATTTATGGTTATGGTAGAAACATTTTGAAAACGCTATACACATCACACGAACTAAGTAGTTGTATTCTACCACCGGCAAGAAATCATTTAGCACGACCGGCTCTAGATCCTGTACGTTTCAATATATTCCATGGTATGTAGCTTTGGCTGGATTTTAGACTACTTTTGAATCAAATCAATAGCCGATAAATCGAGTTAGGTTGTTACACACCAATTCTGACTATCTTTGTCTCTATAGACTTGATTGGATCGAACGAAATAATAGCTATGTTGTTTTGTTTTGACTCGTAGAGTAACCTCTTATAATCAAACAATGGAGTACAAATAGATTCAATCCTTCATGATGCTCTCTTTTATTCGTATAACAAAAGTCATCGGCTGATGTTTACCTAGACTGATAATTAGGTGCCTACAGATACACTTATACTGCGCCTGTCACTCGTCGACAAGCGTAGCAGAGAAATTGTACAAATCTAAAAGTCGAATCTAAGAGAGAAATTGTTTTGAATAGATCTTACTAGAATGCGTTGTATTCAACATGATCGATAAATTTTAAGTCGAGTTTTCACTGTAAAAGGAAGCATTTTGTACTTTAATAATTAACATTAGGGAAGTCATACAGAAACAAGTTTATTTTAAATCTTAAGATGAATTAATTCGTTTATTGATACACTTGACCTCAGTCAAAATACTCCGTTAGACTTTTACATGCATTGACTTTTGACTCCTTTCTCAAAATAATAAACTTTTATAATTGGTTCTTAATTAATATTAATGTGTTGTTTTTCTTCAGAAGCGGTCCGAATTAAATATAAACTTTCTGTGTTACACTATGATAATTGTTATACCAAATTAATCCGACCGCGCGTGTGTGATTTCCTGATTGATGAAAGAAAGCGACAAGCAAAAGCTGCCAAACAACAAACCATCAACGACCAAGAACAAGACATTAATAATGACTAACTTTATTTTATCCCTTCGAGCGATATGGAGCCAGTGTTGGCCTTCTTCAGAGTTCTCCTTTAAGCAGACGAAGAAGGTTTGCTTGTTTTTGATGACAGCATCGCTCACGTCTATTTAATATCGTTCTTTTTTTTAATTTCTTCTGTATTTTACACAAACAAGCGTCGTTGACTATCTGCCTAAAGAAATTGATTATATCAATTGTTTTCTCTCGTAAACATCGAAAGATGATTCTAAACAATCTCCAATGTTTTGTCTGGGATCGTCTCGTTGCTTTTACTCAATGAAAACGTTTTTAACCATTAGTCTTCTAGCTCGGTTTGACAGACAAGAGAGTGGAATGACTCGAGAATGACCTGTTAGTTCTATAAATTTTAGATATCAAATAGTTTGCTCGGCTATAATAGAAGATCGATGCTAAGCAATGATGAACAATGCATTTTCATTCATGACATTCAATTCAGAGAGAATAAATGTCAATTTTTATAACAACGATGTTTTCTGTCACCTATTTGTTTTTTGATACGCAGAAAACAGGATGTCTAGAAGTGTTAGTCAAACCGTTCGTTTATGGATGCGAGCTTTTTTAATTGATGCCGGAAGTTTTGGTTTCAAAATTCCTAATTCTTCTTTTCATAAAATGAAGTGTTCCAGTAAAAAAATGATCTCTACAAATCTGTATAATCTGTTTCACAATAAAAGAATGCCATCGAAAACTGGTTTAAACATAAACATCGATGAGAGAAAACAAACAACATGTATGGGTAAAATAATAAGGAAAGAAGATCGATAGAAGAATGGCGAACATAGGAGTCATTCTTCTTGAGCTAAAAATTGAAAGAAAACGTTTCGAATTCGAAGTTTAAAGTAAAAACAAAAAGTAAAAACTCTCATGTTTGAAGACACAAAGGAGAGAATCTTTGCTTAACAGTATTCACCGGTTCATTTCGATTTTTTCAATGAATTCGACAGCTTCTTTTTCTTTTTATAAGCTAATGATCCGAAATAATTTGACATGGAATGTTTGATCTTGCTGGTTGTGGTTTTCGTTTCCTCGGGATGCATGATCTTCAGTCTCTATTCACGAAAGTGAAAGATATAGAAATGATGAAATCTGTTTACTCACGAACAATACTGTCGACAATGCTTTTATCGACATTCGAAAGCTTGAAATGTATTTCTGGATCAGGAAAAAGAAATTTGAGAATTGATCTCGCGCTACATGTCGCGTTTTCTCTCTTGAGTGAAGAAAGCATCTTGTCGTCGATAGCCAATAACAGCCCGTTTTCCCGCTTATTACAATTACCAGTCATTGGATCATCAACATTACCAAGATTCGATGCAGAAGAACCAGCATTTGTTTCACTAATTGTATCACCGTCAACACTCATAACAAGATCGCTAGTGTTCACTGTGATATCATGATGATTGTTGTCACTGAAGCTTGGCAAAGCATCTTCGAAGAACTCTTGAATATTAATGTCGGATGGAATCGCTAACAGCAAAAAGGTCAAGTAAGAAAATACCCAAATTCGAAAACTTACATAAAAATGATTTTTCCAAGCGTGCAAGACGATCTTGCAGTTCGACACACAGTTTCTTCAATGTTGTTATTTCGTTTTCTTCACTATTGCCTATATTACAATCAATCGATTGCAATTTTCGTTTTTCACCAATACCAGTCGGAGGATCTACATTCAATGTATATTAACAGACTATAGCAAGAGCAAAGCTAATCATACTTGTTTCAACAATTTCTTTGGTACCTTGATCATTAGCAGATGAACAAGCATTTTCCTTCTGATCGTTTTCCTTCTGATCGTTTTCCTTTTGATCGTTTACTTTTTGTGCGGGAGTCTTTTTTCGAGCCATTAAAGAAACAAATTCAGTTGAATATTATCGACGAAAACACCAAACAGCTAAAATAAAATTTTCGAAGGCATCCTTCGCGCAGGCTATAGTATATATTAATTTCCATCAACCAATCAGGAAACATCCAACCAGCGCGATGAAATCAGAGAGGATTTTTGCTTCATTGTCACTAACGTTATCAGGAGACTTTACATAAAGATGAAGTCACAATAATATCTATACCAACTATCAATACAATTACTATCATGAAGCTCGGTTACATCCACACCACGATGCGACAGATGTCTACATCTCACGATATTCATTCATACTCGCTACATAGGAATCGAGCATTCTAGCGTTTTATTCATGTATCAACCGTTATAACCTATTCTACACTCGCATTAGAATGATTCAACAGATCTCTAAAGCTCCATCTGTATATGAATCCCATGAAAGCACAGCACGGCCGACCGGCTCATCTTTGCCGGGGGCTGATAGTCCCCGTCGATATTTCGATACTCGTCAAAACACAAAACCACATCTGTAGCTAACATCCAACGATACAACGATTTTCTCTCATCCGACTCACTCACAGCTTCCAATCAACTGCCATACTCAACTATTCAAAAATCAGAAAATATCGGTTCCATGATCGTTCACACCGACATTTCACTATATGTACTCGTGCTCTTTTTCGACTCCTCGTCATTTCGACGTGGCACCCGAAAATCCAGATTCTGTTCACAGTACATTTACCGTTTTGTTTCTTGTTTCCCCAGTCAGTGAGGTGATCGATATCCATATCCATAATTCTATAATAATGGATTTCGTACGTCTTCGATTCTATTTGGTATGAGTATATTTGAATAGTTGCCGGTTATGGTCAGTGACGGAAAAGTGCAGTGAAAGAAATGGCATTGCAGAATCCGGCGCTTTCCCGGACAAATTGACTCGTGCTCAATGGTCTTCTTCGGTCAGTCTTCCTGAGTTTCAATAAAGTCTACTTGAATAGAGCTGTAATGCTCATGTTATTCAGTCGAATTTTGCGGAAACTCCAGGCAATTTTCATGATAGCTTCTCTACTCTTAATGACATATTACTGCAATATCAGTGAAACAGCTGTGATTTTGAGTAATCCAGGTGAAATCCATTGTAATCTGGTTGAGATTCTGCGAAATCCAGGGTAATCCAGGTGAGATCCAGTGTAATCTAGGTGAAATCTAGTGTAATCCAGGCGGAAAATAGTGCACTCTAGCTCGTATGAAGTGGCATATTCCTGCAACTCGTAACAGTCCGATGCAATCTTGTTTATTTCTGTTTGTCATCTGGGGGTGGACCATTTAATTTAATCTTACTTAATTAACGGACTAACGATTACAAAATCATTTTGTATGATACTCGTTGACCATTGTACGTGCCGTACAATCAAACGTCGGCCAGAAAAACGATTGTAGGAAGATTCCAATTTCGTTTCACTTAATTCTGATCGTGATTATGGAGGAAAACCGTCAACTCCAGGATGTTTTTTTGACCCTGATATTTGATTGGTTAGTTTCAGCCAATCAGCGTTGACCTCGATTTTTTTTTCAAAATTTTAATCTCCGTAGAAACGTTTCCCAAGTGCGTCAGTGTCCTTCGGTTTTTTAACTTCATCGTTGACTCCTCACACAGGAGTGTTTGGTGTATAGCCCTTAAGCTTAAAACAAGCGCACTCCAAAACGTATCGTATTTGCTGTCAAAAGATTGGAAGCGATTGTTCATTTCTTCATGGCCTTCCGTATATTGCGCGGACTGTTTGAGTTGACTAGGGGGTCATTGAGTTGTCATCCATGGAAAAGTAACAGCTGGACCAGAACGAGTTTATCGTTCTCGCCAAACTAAAACAAAAGCGTTCTTATCCGTTAAATACTTTATTATTTGAAAATTAACGGTTCAGTAAGAGGCGTTATTTTTAATTCTCACGTAAACGCAAACTCCGTTTACTGTCAACGCTAACGCTTAACGCTTTCCGTTTCAGTTACTTTCAAATTAACATAAAGCGCCCACCCCTGCAGTAATCCGAAAATCAAGATTCTGTTCAGATTACATTCACCGTTTTGTTTCGCGCACCCTACCGCTATATATACCTGTCCCGTTTTGGAATCCTCGTCAATTCAAGGTGCCATCCAAAAATCAAGATTCTGTTCAGATTACATTCACCGTTTTGTTTCGAGCACCCTACACCTATATATACCTGTCCCTTTTTCGGAATCCTCGTCAATTCGAGGTGCCATCCAAAAATCAAGATTCTGTTCAGATTACATTCACCGTTTTGTTTCGAGCACCCTACCCCTATATATACCTGTCCCTTTTTCGGAATCCTCGTCAATTCGAGGTGCCATCCAAAAATCAAGATTCTGTTCAGATTACATTCACCGTTTTGTTTCGCGCACCCTACCCCTATATATACCTGTCCCTTTTTCGGAATCCTCGTCAATTCAAGGTGCCATCCGAAAATCAAGATTCTTTTCAGGTTAGAACAGCGCTTTGGTTCGTGCGTGGCGGTCAGTGAGGCGATGCATATGGATAGGCGTAGTGCAATGATAACCGATTTGGTCCGCCTTGCATCTTCTGCGATTGATATTCCTCAGTTTGCACAACATCTCCTGGAGTGGCGGTGTAGTTATCATGCTATGAAGTCAAGTTTCAGGCAAGTCTTGGTAAATGTCTAGGACACCTGCTCTAACCTTTTTGAAATGAAATATTAGTGCAATAATTGTGAAACCACTATAATCGGCAGTAATTGAACTGATATCTGGGGTATTCTCGGTGAAATCCACTGTAATTATCTGGAATCTAGGTCATATCTGGTGTAATCTAGATGTAATCTACTATAACCTGGCCGAAATCTAGTGTAATCTTGGTGAAATCTAGTGTAATTATGTGGAATCTAGGCGATATCTGGTGTAATCTGGCCGAAATCTAGTGTAATCTTGGTGAAATCCACTGTAATTATGTGGAATCTAGGTGATATCTCGTCGAATCTGGCCGAAATCTACTGCAATCTGGCCGAAATCTAGTGTAATCCTGGTGAAATCCACTGGAACGTTATTGATATCTACTGTAACTTTGGCGAGAACGTAGTGATCGCCAGTGATTTCGTGGTGATATGGTGTAGGATCGAAGGATTAAACCTGATGAAGCTTGATGAAGTGAGATGCTGGCAGCTTGAAAGTTTGGAAGATAACGTGTAGTTTATTGTGATTCGTGCGGAAGGTTGAATGAAAACTCAAAACTTGGTGGATAGAATATAAAGCGTGATAATATAATTTTTTTCCTGTGAAAACATGGTGGGATTCTGTCGGATGGATATCGTTTCCGACAGTTCCATGCAGGTGGATCCCGTGAGTTATCGTGGTATATGGTGGATGAATCCGACTGTTTCTGATCGGATACTTTCCGACGTGATCCGAGTCGGAATCCGTTGGTTAGGTTTCCGGTGAAAACCGGTGGGGTTCCGATCGGTTTTGTATGGGAATCCTGTGAATTCCGATGCAATCCGATGCCGGATCTTCCGGTCGGATCGATGGACCTGGGCAATTGTCTTATTTCTTGTTCGATACGTGAACCGTCTGCTAGTGAGACGTTTAGAACATCTCGAGACGAATGTCGACGATCTCCTACATGCAGTTGCTATTCGACTAGACGACGAATCTTTCGCTTAAATAAAAACCTGTTCTTTACTGCTATAATTGTATGTCTTGTTAATCAGTATCATATCTCTTCAATGGAAAACAGAAAAACAGAAACGATCTTTTCAGAAGGATAGAAGGTCCGACTGAAATGTAGCACACTGTGTACTTCAACCATACCTTCTATCTCACAAACACCATTAAAAACCGTGCTCGAAAGGTAGTAATTAATGATCAAGCTAATCCATCCACAAGTACTGATACAATGAAATCGTCAGATAAATCGAATCTATTTTATTCTTCTTACAGCTCCTGAATAGTAGATGCAAATATTTTTGCGTACAACAAAAGTTTTTAAGCAAAACATTCGACTTCTGATCGATCAACCCCAATTAAGTTACACTATTCAATGGGGAATGACGAGATCTATCCATCTCAGAAGTTTCAGACCCATCACAAGTCGCTGAGTGAATGTCAGCAGGTATTAGTGGTAAAAACCACTAGTTTACTAGTATTTACTGGTATAATCCCACTTATGATCGATGATACCCCACTTATCCTATACCATTCGATGCGGAATGATGAGATCTATCCATCACAGAAGTTTCAGGCCCATCACAAGTTCCTGAGCGAATGTCAGCAGGTATTAGTGGTAAAAACCACTACTTTACTAGTCTTTACTGGTAAAGCCACTAGGTAGTGTGGATGGGCCCGCACTCAAGTTACACCATTCGATGGGGAATGACGAGCTCTATTCATCACAACCGCTTAGAGATCCATCGCAAGTCCTTGAGCGAATATCAGCAAGAAATGCTCGAATCCGCTGCTAACTTCCACTACGTTTGAAGTCTCAAGTCATATCTCGACGCTATAAATATGCTCTTCCGTCGACCATAGGTTCGATCGGAAAAGACTCCTCTTCAAATGGCAAATATTTCGAGAAAAACGATTTTTAATCTTTCACTCTTGGCCGTTGACCCTCACCCACACCCTCCGCGAAAAAGCATCTCTAACTCTCATTTATGAGTCCAACTGGAACAAACACTCAACTACAAAAGAATACTTTTACCATTAATACAAATTTCCCACGACCACCACCAACAATCATCACTTACTCGTGTCAGTTTTCTTTCTTTGCCTTTCTCAAGTTTCCATATATTGAACAGGTTTAACTCAATCAATTAGGATTACATTTGACACGTCTGACTCTAACGAATGTATCTTTTGATATCTATTTTTCGCCTTCAGTGCATTCAGCTACGGTAATACATACGAGTATTCATTCGTCATTCTTTTATTACTCCTAAGATCAGTTGCCGTTGCATAAAAGTTGGAACACCTAGCCAT